CTATAAATACAGGTACTTTGCACATGCGAATGTAGTAGCATAATTATTTTCAGAATATATTAAACAGCTTATGGTCGTGAAGTGTTCTGTTATATGCTTATAAGCTCTTGTATTGACAGTCCCAACAACTTGTTCCAAAGACAAGCCATTTCAGGGCTCAACACTAACAGTAGCCAACTAGCCACAGTCTAGTAGAAATTCAGTTTTGGCTTGCGGTTTTTTATTTCCACTCGCCAGTTTGGCTAGTAAGCAAACTGAAATTGTTGTAACATTCAAGTTGTCACTTTCCACTTGGCTAGTAAGTTGAAAAGTTAGTGTCAAGCCCTGCAGTTGGAACCCTTACTCATCCACTCAGAACTTCTTAAACCATTGGACATAGGTTTAGCATACTCTTGACCTATACACTTTTCTAGGACTTTGTTAAAATCACATTTTTACTGACAAAGCAGACAATAACTCACCTCTTTTACATTGGCATCACATACATAACAATAGCATTGTTCACAGTAGTTCTCATTCCATGATACTGTTGCTGTAGTTACATTACTCTGGACAAACTTGTGAGCTACACAGTTCTCCCTGGCATGTGGAAGATTTGTTCCAGGTTTGTAGTATGTAATGGCCAAGTCCTTTTTAGCCTGATTTTCTTGGTCGTCAAACCTACAAGCTTTCTTTTCATGGTCAATTTTCAGCCTCTTTTTGGGAGAATAGTCCTCGGGCAAAATAAAAATAATGTCGTCATCATCATCACTGTTGTCGCCAACACAAATGAGAGGGATATGCTTTTCAGAAGTTTCCAACTTGACATCAAGTTCACAACGTTCTTTATTAGTTAGCTGTTCCTCAAGTTCTTTGAACCTTTTTGAAAGTTCTTGTTTCTCTTTGTCACAAAATTCAAGCTGCAAAGAATAAAAAATCAGATTTTAACCCTCCTTCAAATTAAAAGAGATGGTGCTTTAGCCAAGAATTTAATATTTACAGGGCTAGTTTTAAGGCAATATTGAAAACTATCCAGCATTAGCCAGACTTGCCTCACTAGTCTCATTTTTTATGCATTCAAGATCTGTAACTACTTCTTTCCATGAAACAAACCACACGTAATGAAACTCACATTGGAACTGAAAAAGTTTCCCTTTCCATATAATGATGTTTCAGTACCTTTGATTAATACTTTTGACAAATGTTACCAACACTGATCAATACACATTGATTTAAGAGTGTGCTTTAATTCTTTCCTAATATTGATTTAGTGATAATGCACAAGTATAATATAGTACATTGTACAAGTCAACATTATTTTTGGATCATTAATTTTTGTACTTTTTATCATCTGGACTCTCCATTATCCGGACTGTTAAGTCCACAAGTCTGGATGATCAAAGTTTTTCTGCACTTATATGTACTTCAAAGTGCTGGATTTCAAAAATGAAAAACAGAATGGGAGCAACACTGTACAAATGTATGGTGTACACATTTAGTATACAGCACAAAAGTATGAGAAGTAACACTATCAATTGGTAACCAGTTACAACAACTGGTCTCCAGTCTTACATTAGTGGTACAAAAATAACAGATTAAAACAATACACATGCAATAATTATTATGACTTACCCTCCTTTTTAGCTGAGCTACTTTCTGGAGAATGCTGTCATCTTTATTAATAGTGACTACAGCCTTTGGTGGTGACTCTTCCCGTTTACGTTTCTTCGTTGGTGAAGAAGAACTGCACACCTGAAACGACAAAGTAAACACTAATACTAGTACTGCATCGCCACTAAATGTTTACTGAGGAGATTGGGTGACTAGAGATCTTGGGTCCCTATCCAAAGGAAGCACTGCTACATGTACGATATCTCATCCATCCATCCATCCATCCATCCATCCATCCCACAGATACCTGTCTTCTAAAGGCCTAAACTATATACAATCCCTAGCTACCACAGGGTTTCTTCCCCTGTGTTTACATGAAAACAATGAATGTTATCAAGGTTTAGAGTCAGTCTTTTCAACTGAAAGTATCTTGCATTGATGACCGAGTACAAAAGCTGACATAATTATATGTAACCAGCGAAGTTTCCTGAATGCCAGCTCTCATCTACTGTAGATCTGCCAATGTGCTCCCAAAGCAATACAGTACCAATATTTAGTACATAAAAGGGTGATAACTTTTTAGGTTCAAAGATAATTTCAAATTTTGAACACCAAGTTGCCATATGATTTAAGAACCTTTTACATGCACTCCATACTGTATATCATCCCCTTGAACCATGTAATTATGTTCCCATCCCACTCCATCAAGAGGTCCCTATTACTTCTTTGTTGTACATGTAAAATCACATTTGGGTCTGATGTTAAGTGAACAACAAGAAGCATTACATGTGCAAATTGACTTGTCCATATTTCTAATGCACTTCAAATAAAGGCTATTATATGAAAGCATGTGAAATGATTACTCTTCTTTTTACACAAAGTTCAATTTGATCTAGCCATGTTAAAGTCAAGTTTTAGGAACACCAGGAGTTTGACTTTCTTCTTTTTATTAATTTAATCACAATTAAATAAAATAATTATAAAATAATAACTAAAACAATTATGCCCTTCTGGCATTAATATCGCATCAACATTCGATTGTTGTTCCTGTTATTTATTCCTGCTATTTACACATTGGAAGAGAAATACACAAGAACAGCCAAAGCCAGGGGCTTAAATGGCCTAAGGTCAGCAAAAGACTTGAAAAATTTACAAGAGTAGAAGAAAGCTTTAACTAAAATAATTCCAATACGATTAAACCAAGAAAGAAAAGGTCAGTCAGAAAAAAAACTTACAATTGAGATGCAATGCTTAGCAACTAGTTTAAATATTTAAACGACTAATAATAAATTCCTATACACCACACAAACAAATACAAACAAACGCACCTAATACCGTCCCATAAGGATGTAGATTATGCATAGGCTAATTAACTACTCAGAGAAAAATACAGTCATAATTTTTTTTTTATAGTTGCTTACTGTGAGATTATTGCACACCGATAACGGAATATCATTCCAAATAATAGGAGCTTGCCAAGTGATAGCAACTTGATATTTATGACAGGTTTTATGCAGATTAAAATGTGAACGAGTCGCATAATTGTGATATTCAGAATTAAAATGAAGCCTCGAGGAAACAGGAGCAGGTCTAAGGTTATTAAAATGTGAGAATACAAAACAGGCAACATGGAGTTTATAGATAGAGTTAAGTGAAAGAATATTATGCTTAGAAAAGAGGGGTTTAGAGGCTGTGCACAGAGGAGAAAAAGTAATGATACGAACAGCTTTCTTTTGAAGTACATAGGGGGGTTTAAGGTAAGAAGCATAAGTAGATGCCCATATTAAACTGCCATAATTTATGTAGGGTAGGAGAAGAGAATTATATAAAGCTTTCAAAGTGTTAAAAGGTAAGTATTGCCTTGACTTGCACAAGACTCCTTTTACTTTAGAGACTTTAACACATACAGCAGAAATATGCAGTTTCCAAGATAAATTTTCATGAATGATAATCCTAAGAAATTTGTCTTCCTGCACACACATGATGAGAGAATTATTTATAAATATATTTATATCTCAGGAGTTAATTTGTTTACGTCAAGGGTGAATAATAATGAATTTAAACTTGTCAGGATGAACAGTGAGTTTGTTGGCATAAAACTAAGAAAACATGAGAGAGCTCTACATTGAGAATGGTTGCTGAGGTAGCCAGGTCATTATGACAAAGAAAGATATTTAAATCATCAGAAAAGAGAATGATAGACAAGAGGTTGGAGACATGAAAAAGATCATTAACGAATAAGAGAAAAAGTAGAGGACCAAGAACTGAACCCTGGGGAACCCCACAAACAACCGGATTAAATGAAGATTTATTAAATGGCTGTGTCTCACAAGGACTGGGAACTACAGAATTCACAAATTTGATTGGCTGAAATCAATATTGAAAGCAATCTAGACTTTTCCATCTAGACCAGCATCTAGACCAAAAAAGGTACAAAGAATATAAAAAATTGTGTTATAAGACACAGCCATATAATAAACATCTTATTTACTGACTAGGTTGGTCTGTATGGGAGAATCTTGACTGAGGTCAAGATTCTCCCATACAGACCTCCCGCTCGGTTAATATGAACTAAGTATGGTCATGGACCACAATGCACTGCTGTCTGTGGGACAAATAGCTTGTAAGCCAGGTTAATGGGACACATCTAATGCCATAAAAAGTTAGTTTATCCAGAAGTATTTCATGATTGACTGTATCAAATCCTTTCTTAAGATCAATGAAGACTCCAACAGTGTACTGGTTGTTTTCAAAACCTTCAAAAATATTATTGACAAGTTCTAAGATGGCCATAGTAGTAGAGTGATGTGGTCTGAATCAATACTGGTGATGATTAAGGATATTAAACTTTGTGAGAAATCCTGATAACCTGAGGTAAAAAAGTTTTTCAAGGATCTTAGAAAGACAGGGGACTAGAAATAGGCCAATGATTAGAGAAAAAAGAAGGGTCATCACTTTTAAAAACTGGGATAATCTTTGCGATTTTGAGTTTATCAGGAAAGACACCATGTTCAAACGATAGATTGCAAATATGAGATAAAGGAACGGCAAGTAAATCAATTGTTTCTTTGATGGGAGACTCAGAAAGGCCATCCACACCCTCACATTTGCTATATTTTAGACAACGAACAATGGAGGCCACCTCGTCAGGAGAAGTGGGATTTAGAAAGAAACACTCAGAAAAGTGACCAACTAGGAAATCTTTATAAGAAAATTGAGTAGATGGAACTTTACTGGCCAGAGAGGGTCCTATGTTAATGAAGAAATTATTAAAAATACTAGCTATACGTAAAGGGTCTGAACATACACCAGTACTCTCTTTCATATTCATGTGCTTTGACTGAGAACGATGATTAAAATTGAACGCGAGACTACAAATCCTGCGCGCGCTGAGGCCATGGCGCCAAAAAAATATACTACTCGCTGAATACATGTTACGGGATCAATATCTAACCTGAGATCAACATCATTTCCCTTTCCTTCAAAGGAACTTTAAATCTTCTTCTTGAAACGCCAAATAACTGCAGATATTACTCTAAGTGAGACAATTTCTCGCTTCTAGACAATTGCGCGCTAGAAAAAAATGGTACCAATTTGCTGAGGTCTGGCGATTCTTCGCCCAGAGATGGTAAACTTCACATTGTACGGCTGTTCCAGGCGTCATTTTAATTCCCCTCTTATCCAAGCACAGACGATTAAGGTTCAACGATGTATATAAACAAAGGAAAAACGTACCGTGACCTCCACAACCTGAACTTCGTCGTCGTCCATCTTGGATACGCATAATGCAATGTATTTGTGTCATGTGACGTTTTAAGGATTGGCGCCAATCGGTTGCCAATCGTTGCTTGCATTCGATTGGTTTGTGGTTAGTTTGCTATCCCCTCCCCACTTGAATTTATATTCTCCTAGGGGATATGTGTAAGAGTTGATTTATCAGTTTTGGGTGAGGGGGGAGGGGCTGTTAGTTGGAGTGTACCAATCTGCCGCACTGATTTTTTCTTCGACCGCGTTACTTTTGAATTTTAGAAATTGCACCAGACAACATAGTAGTTTTTTTTTGTAATTTCCGTTTTAAGACCTCTGTTTTTTTCTTGTCTTTGCTTGTGCTAAAAACGGTAAGCAAGTCCTGCGAATTTCTGCTGCTCCCCACCCCCCTGTAAGCTTACAGGTGGTCTCATTGGCCTTCACTCCGCTGCTATTTACTCGCAAAATTTCTCTCAACCATATCACTTTCACTTTCGCATCGTTGGTAGTTTGGTAATCCTTCTCTGGGAAGGCTAGGCGTACGCTAGTAGGCAGACTATACAAATCTTACGTGTTTTTCGTTGTGTCCGCTGAGACTGACCACAATATGTATTTGGCTATTCAGTCAGTTGTATAGTTGTGTTGACGAAGGTGTCAATATAGTGTGCACTGCAGTATGTGTCTACCATCTATGCAAAAGCTAAAAGGTGAAATTAAACGGGAAGGTGTATGAGGAGGTACAAACTTTGTGGATGCAGATGAAGTTGTGCATCTCATTCGTGTTTATATCGCCTGTTTCATTATCGTCGGAGCAGCTAAATTCATTGAGAATGTCGAACGGAATACGTCAACTCTCAGGGACGCCGATTGTGGCCGTGGTGTGGTTGTAGCTGTTGCCCGAAAATGTGGTTCAACTACAACCAGCAACGTTTACTGCAGAGACGTCGATAACAGCGGAAACGGCGACGGCGAACCCTTCCAGCTAATTAAGTTTAAGAACAGAAGCTTTTGGACAAATGAAGAGGTAACAAATGAGAGACTCAAAGTTGGATCTCTTTTGAACTGTCAGACTGTCTCCGGTGAGCAGAGTAAGCTGGATGGAAAACAGTTTATTGAAACTATCGGTGTAAAGCCACAGGTAAGGCTAGCTTCCCTATGTTAATAATAATAATGATTAATTACTGAGACGTTGTTCGATCTGCCCTGCCTAAACAAACACTGATTAATAGCTTTTCATTTGTTTGAAACAACTTCGAACAAACTTTATAAAGTTACATACCTTCACTTTCATTTACATCCACGTCATGACCATTCTGATAGTACCCTTCACATCCTCTTGAGCAAGGAGAGCCACAAAGGAGAGGGCCCTAAGAATAAAGTTGCAGATGTTCTCTCAGTGTTTTTTATTTTTAAAGAAAATATCTTATAAGTAGTACTAAATGAATGACTCTGGTTTCCTTGAAAGGACGTAACTCAATTGCTATTTGACCTTCAAGATTATGAAAGTGTTTATAGAGGACTTGAATGGGCACATGGATATGTCAACCTCAAGGTAACTAATTATACACTGTACATAACTTAAAGTGCCTATAACCCCAAAAAAATTTTTTGACCATATTAAATCTCTCTATTGCACTGAGCAAAATGCCACAAAAATTTTTGTGATTATTTAAAGCCCCAATTTTTTATGAATTTTCAAAGTCGTGGAAAATCACATTTTTTCAAAACGCAACCGACAGTAGGCATGGAATTATCAAGATGGGTCTGGGTTGAGCACAGTTTGTGACGTCTTTCCAGGCTTTCCAATGAGTTTGCTTCAAGGACTTGGTGAAGTTTCTTGACGGATATGCCTGATAAGTGCGTTGTTTTCGGGTGTAGCAACACTCCCAACAAAGATAAAAGAATAGCACTTCATCCGATACCTTTTTATGGGGCAGATGACCCAGACAAAAAAAAAGAGAAGAAAGAAGTGGGTTGACTTTGTGCAATTGAAGCATGCACATTGGAAGACCATAAAATACTTGGCCATGTGTTCCAACCACTTCTGAGAAGATTACTCAGTCATGTTTTCTGCTCTGACCAGCAAGACTATGCAACGAAGGTTGCAAAAAGATGGAGTTGGAATTTGCGTCTTTCCGACTGATCACACGTGGAATGTCGAAGGAAGCGAAATCAGCTGAAAGCGAGCAAAGTAAGAGAAAGGTGAGAAAAATTTACCAGATCAGGCTTTAACGAAGATTTCATCTGGTTGGGAACATATAATATTGACTGAGATTGGATCAGAGCCCCACTGCCGATGGCCTGGAGTGACATCACTGGCCCCAGTCTCTGGTTCACTCGGTTGTTTGAAAACTAAACTCGACTTTGAAAAATCATAAAAACTCGTGGTTTTAACCAAACACAAAAATTTTTGCAGCATTTTGCTCAGTGCAATAGAGAGATTCAATATGGCCAAAAAACTTTTTGGGGCTATAGGCACTTTATGGGAAATTTGGAAACAAAACAACCCGGCCGTGTTTTTGTGGCATGGAGTTGTTAGCTGAGCAGTATTACTTCCCCATTTGGTTAAGTTGTACATCATTTCATTGCAAAATTCCTTTCCAGCATCTCAGTTTCACAGACAGCTTTTTGGTCTGATGTAAAGAAAGACTTTATGTGAAAGTGAAGTGTCGTAGTGCCCAACAACACAACTCAATTACTAGACAAGGGTTGTAATAACTAAGCTTTTTTGTTTCATAGTCTAGTATGCTGACCCTCAGACAACTAATCGTTGGTAACAAAATGTGACAGTATCATTTTATGACTTGCATTGCCATTTTCTATTAAAAATGAAACATACACTGAGACTGCCTCAACAGATACTTTTAATGCTCACTATAATGGGTGGTTTAAGCACTGATCCATTGATATCAACTTCACATGTTAATTAAATGACTTTGTATAGATTTAAATTGTGCTATTGACTGTTAGAAATAGCACTCTAGCTCACTGGTGTCTAACCTTGCTGTTTATAGTTAGGATTGAGCATGCTAATTGTATAGCCTAATTTAGTATGTTTTTCCTTTTCCTTGTTTTTACCTAAACCATACATTATAGTGAGCATTAAAAGTATCTGTTGAGGCAGTCTCAGTGTGTTTAATTTTTAACAGAAAATGGCAATGCAAGTCATAAAATGATACTGTCTCATTTTGTTACCAATGATTAGTTGTCTAAGGGTCAACGTACTAGTTGTTAAGTCAATGTAATTTGCAAATGAAAATTTTTTTCTCTAGATTGATATTTGTGCTATACAAATCAATAAATATTATTCCTTTTTTTTCCTTTTCTTCATGGAAAGGTTCATAGATTTTTTCGAGCCTTTTTAGACAAAAATGAGTTAATAGAGAAACTCTACACCAAACTTCATGAAGCACATGCCAGAATTTACTTCATTGGAATAAGGGCTTGTACAATCAAGAACGAAAGAGTTGCTCTGGAAACAATGGATGGAGAACTGTTAGATATGCCACTGAACTGTAGAGAAAACCTTGTCTTATCCACAGCACCAGTTCAACTGCAACTTAAGAGGCCAGGGGAAGTTGGTAATGATGATGTAGGTGGTGTGGCTGTTGTAAAATATGAAGCTTGCAAATTTACCTGTGAGGGACTGATTTTAAGTGAGTGATCAGCATTACATATGTACATGTTATGTGGCTTTATGTGTGACACAGACAATAACAGAGGGAAAAAGTTACATTTTTTAAAATTTATTTACCTTTTCTTTTATTTGTGGCAATAGCTGGCAATTAATAGAGATCCTCACAACACTGCAATGAGCTGTAAGTGTGATTGACCACATTAATATTATTAATAACAATTAGTATATACTAAAACAGTGGATAGCGTTGAAGGCGCGTTCTGATTGGCTAGTCAAACTCCGAATATCCTTTGCTATTTACCTCCAAGCAACTCGTGAAAAAATGGTGTCCCGGTTTGCATCCGTGACAAGCGAAGAATTCGCTCAAATTAACGACGGTGGTGTATATTATCTCACTGTTTTAGTATATACTAAAACAACTATTCACCTCAGTGTCAGTGGTTAGCAGTGGATATTTACCTCGCCGCTTCGCGGCTCAGTAAATATCCACCACTAACCACCTCCACTTTGGTGAATAGTTGTTAATTATATAGTATAGTCCCTTACAGTGCTGTACTTACTTATATTGTATGTGCCAATTTAGCCTAACTTAAGTTGTGAAATTAGAACTTGAATTGGATACTGAGAAAAAAAACTTCAGACCTCATCAGGATTTGAAATTATGACCCCTATGAAATACCCGTCATCCAGTTAACTTCCACCAATTCGGCCATCAATTCAACTTTCAGCTGGTCATTCCTGGCAGAAGGTTGTAAGACTTACACGTCGAGATTAATTTACCAATGAAATGAAAGCAATTGATTTCTTTTAGTTGATTTTGAGTCACATCGATAGCCAGTGTTAAAACAAAGGAAATCCTCAATTTTATTGACTTCCTATCAAATTACTGAATGAATGAAAGTCTTCATGACTCTTAGAAATTTCTTTGGTCAATATTTTGACAGAATTAAAGGAACTAAATGACCTGCAGCATTAATTTTTTTTATTTTAAATAAAAGAAATTAACACATTGTCTTCTGGTTAAGTGTGCTACTGTGAGTGTAATAATTTACATTTTTACTTGAAGTACTTGTGAATGACTAAAGCATAATGATTTAAAAAATTCAAATAATGCTAAGAAAATCTTGTCTTCTTGTCTTTGCTTTTGCCCTTTATTAGAAAAATACTCTATTTAATAAAAAAAATTTTCAGTTAGTCCTATTTTCAGAATTTTGGGGAAATCAGTATCATCATTTATTACATTGCTTGCAGCACTGTGGGCAAGATGAAGCAAATCCTGTGTTCTGATTGGCTACCCAAGTGGGCAAGATGAGCCCATCTTCCCCACTCAGAATTACCTGTGTTGATCCCACAATTGAAAAAAAAAATAGAATTAGAACTACATTCCGAATTCTTTGACAATTTCGGCAATAGAAACACAAAAAGCAGCAAAAGATATTCAAAACAAAGAAAACAGAAACAACGTTCGTGAGTTTGTTGTGCTACAAACACAGTGGCTTTCTTTCCTGGTTCTCGAAGTAAACAAATTATTCTTAATAAAGGTAAATCTTTTTGCAGTATAATATAAATCCTTCTTAACCAAGCTTGTTCAGTCAAGATGGCTGGATATTAGCTTTGTTCCTTTTCTGCATTTTTATGGACATTGACTTTGTCTCGGTCCATAACTAAATGGCAAAAGAACTCAGCCATTATCCAGCCATCTTAACCTCATTCTTAGTTAATAATGCATGAGTTGTAGGTCAATTTGTTCTTTAGGTAAATTTGTTTCAAACTAGGTTAATTTTATCTCAACCTAGGTCAGTTGCCTAGACTTGACATTTTGGATGCTCGCTTATGGGAGGTTTGACTGTATTTCAAAAAGAATTTCAGGTTCCAGACATCTCAGCAAAGCCAAAAAAAAAAAAACAGACAGACAGACAGACAGATATCAGCAACTGACCTATGTTGCGATCAAATTAACCTAGTTTGAAACAAATTTACTTAAAGAACAAATTGACCTACAACACATATATACTTTGTACACATTGTGTTTTTGTACTTCTTTTCAGGATATAAACCCTTAGTCATATCAAGGGACGAAGAACCAGTCCAGATAAAGAATGGATGTGGCAAGGTGATTCCAGTTTCAAGATGTCATTGTGTCTTGTTTGATACAGGCAATGACGCAGCCACTGGCATATCTAGAGAGCTTTTGTTGGAGTTGAACCTGCAACCTTATCGTAACAAGAAAAGGGAAGTTAAATTAGCAGGAGGAAGGTTGGGCCAGTTTGAAATGGTAGAAATTGAGCTTGTAATTCGAGGACACCATTTTAATGTCTGTGCATTAATTGATGCCCCAGCTGAGGGTACTGATCTTCTTGTGGGAATGGACATAATCCGGCAGCTCTATGACTTGGGGTATACTATTGGTGAATAACCTTTGGTACATTTTATAAAGTGTTGCTCCAAACTTAATAGCATATTTTGTGCTCTTTGGAATTGAACTTTCTTTATTGCATTCATCACTTCCTCTGTAACACTGATAAAATGTAAGGTAACCATTTTGAAATTGGTACTACTACTCTAATCACCTTGTGTGAGGTTATTAAAGCAACCCTCAACCAATCAGAGCATGCACATCTCTATATTAAGCATTAGTGCAATTATACTTATGATATGTATGACAAATACAGTAACTGCCTTTAGAGTTAATATGTGGTGAGAATTTTAGAACATGTCTTTACCCGAAATATACTTGATTAGCTAATATCATGTAGAGTACATACTGAAAAGTAGTGATTTTTATCAACAGAAGAGTTTATCTATTGTACATTGTCAACCATCGCAACGATGTAAAACATATAATTGTACATTCATATTAATAATAAAAATTTTATCAATTTCTATTGCGCATTTACCCTGCAATGATCTCATATGCTTTACAACACTGTGCAGGGGACTTTTCCAGACTGCCAGTGGCAGTTTACAATCAACAAAGGAGAAATTTTTACAGATGCCCCCTCCCCCCAATTCCCAGTAAACAGGCCAGACCACGTCACAGTAATCTCATGATGTGGGTTCTTTAACGTCCCCAGCCTAACCAAATTAACTAATTGACAGATGTAGGAGACGGGACATGGAATCAAATTCCAAGAATTTTAATGAAACTGTCTTTAACTTTGGTAGTTGTAGTTATAAAATACAGCTTTCAAAGCTCTGTTGGTGAAAGTTTAAATCAAACAGGCATAATTCTTGGCCAAAAATTGAATCAGGAATGACCATGTATCGATTTTTATTTCTATGCAGTCTTACCATCTCAACTCAGAAGTGGTCCTAAAGAATTCGTGCATTCTGCATTATGCCATATATAATCTTTTACCTCTTGCGCTCATTATCATCATCAACATCATCATTGTGGGGAAGGGGGCTGGGGGAGAAGGTCTGGGTCAGATATTCTGCTATGGCATTTCCAGGTGAAGTGATTGTAGTAGGATTACTGCCTGGCTAGCTAGGCTTATTCCCGCATAATCCTGATCATCAACAAATCATTATCATCATTACAGGGTTGATTTACAATTATTGACAAAATATGGTCTCAAGCTATCTCTCCTTTGACTTAAAAGTTCTAGCCACTCTTTCCCCTCCAGTTAATAACATTGCCCAGATTGTTCAACGTAATACTATTCAATCGTTATAAAGTCAAAATTATTGACGTGAAATGAAAACTAATTGCTTTCTCTGAAACTCTTCTCAGAAATCATAAAACCAATGTACAAAAGCTACTATTCACCTGTAATATCTTGCGTGAAAAATTACAGATAGTGGATCACCCAAAAGAGTTACGGTACTTTTAGAGGGGGACACAAAAATTGTTGCGCAGATGTTGCAAATCGCTGAAAGGTTTGCACCACTGTTTTAAATTAGTGGTAACTACAGTAACTGTAATCTTGATATTAAGTTAGAAAAAGTAGGTTCATAATAACAATAATTTGTATAATGTTCAAATGTGCTTCACAATAAAATAACACGGTAATAATACAACTATTAAAATAAATACTAGAACAACATACAAACACTAATGTTATACTAATACTGCTATAATAATGTGTTCAGGCTAAGATAACAATGCTAAGTGAAAAAGGTGTGTTTTTAACTTTGACTTAAAAATACCCAATGACTTAGAGTTTCTAACTTCGAATGGTAATGTATTCCAGAGGTTAGGTGCTACGCAAGTAAACGACCTGTCACCAAGTGTCACATTAGATTTGAATCCGGGTTGCTTAAGCAAGAGGGTGTCACAAGAGCTTCTCAGGTTATAGCATGACTGAGACTTTAGAGAAATCAATGAATCCAAGTAAGTGGGAGCTGTGCCATACAAGATCTTGAAAGTTAACAGAAGAATCTTGAATACAATTCTAGACCGAATCGGCTACGATGAACAGCTACGAAGACCCCGCAAAGGAACTCTCCAGGTGATCGCCGTGTCTGTTTTCTTCAGCTTGCGTGACCAAACAATAGGGTTTCGCATGACCCGTTGATCCAAAAATAGACCTGATGAGACCTTTGACACCAACGATCAGGTGTTCAGATCATTCATAGACAAAAAAGGCTAACGCACGCTCATTTGTCACGTGACCTGAATTGGGTAAAACAACAAACAGGTGTTAGTAGGCGCTGTAGCTTGAACAAAACAGAAATAGCCATGCCTCATTATTGTTACTCTTATTACTTGAGTAATAACAACAACAGCACTGCACATGACTTTGACAACAGAAGCATACAGCCACCATTTTGAACTAATGTAAACACCCAATTCAAGTCACGTGACGTCTCTTTACACTGTCATTCCTAAAGGCGAAGGTCTTCTGGCCCTTAAACATTTTCAGTTGATCAACGTACTGTTAAGGAACCTAAATCTGAAACACTACTACGCTTAGCCGAACTAGTGTTCACACTCAATTGTTTTTCATTCGGGGACAACTTTTTCAAACAAACCAATGGTGTAGCCATGGGTACCAAAATGGGACCTAGCTATGCCAATCTTTTTATAGGTTTTGTCGAACACCAATTTTTTAGCCAATACAACGGCTCCAAACATGAACTCTAAGGTCGCTTCATCGACGATTGTATCTGCGCCAGAGAGGAGCCGATTGTATCTGAGCCGACTCAATTCATAACCGCAGTCAAGTAGTAGTATTAGTACTAGTAAAACTTTATTAAAAGTGTCAAGAGCCGTCTAGCTAAGGAAAAATGGGACCTAGCTATGCCAATCTTTTTATAGGTTTTGTCGAACACCAATTTTTTAGCCAATACAACGGCTCCAAACATAACCGCAGTCAAGTAGTAGTATTAGTACTAGTAAAACTTTATTAAAAGTGTCAAGAGCCGTCTAGCTAATTTGGGGACACTAAAAAAGAAAAAAGATTAGGAGCTATTTACAGTAGTATATATAATAAAACTAAGAGAAAATCTATGGTTAACTAGTTACGGGATTTTTAATAAAAATATACAAAATTCGAGAGGAGCAGAGGCTACAGTATGTGCAGCCATCATCCAAGAGCTTACTTATACTGAGTTGGCTTATCTTGCCTTTGAACGACTTGAGGGTCTCGCCCTCATTTATACTCTTGGGTAATTTTGTCTATAGCCTGGGCCTGGGTCAGTTCTTTTCACCCGGCTCTGAAATATACCTGGGAAATTTCTGACAATTCTTTATCCTTTTTAGTCATCAAAGTTTCAATTGAAGGCAACGGTTTATGCACTAGTGTGTATTACAAACCTACAGACTCGCATAATTATTTGTTGTATTCGTCTTCGCATCCATCTCACGTTAAGAATTCCATTCCTTTTTCTCAGTTTCTAAGACTTCGTCGTTTATGTAGTGATGACTCTGATTTCCACCACAAATCAGAGTCAATGTGCCAGTTTTTCGATAAACGTGGTTACCCTGTTTCTGTCGTTCAAGCGGGTTACCACCGCGCCCAACTTATTGATCGACATTCAGCACTACAAACGTCGCATAAGGAAGATTCCGACCGCATTCCATTCACTCTCACGTTTCACCCTCACAACCACTCAGTTAAATCCATCATTCTTAAAAACTTTAAATTACTTCAAAACGATCCAGAGACAAGCACTATCTTTTCGCAGCCTCCGCTCATTTCATTCAAACGCGACAAAAACATAGGCAATTTTTTGGTCAGAAGTTCTTTTCAGACTAATGACCAACCAGGCACTTTTAAATGCGCTCGTGCACGATGCAAAACGTGTCCTTTCATTCACAACACTGATAAAATATCGGGACCTAAACGATCCATTAAGATCACCGATCACTTCACGTGCACCTCCGCCAATGTAATCTATTGCATAACTTGCACTTATTGCAAAAAGATATACATCGGCGAAACAGGCAGAAGACTAGGTGACCGATTCCGAGAACACCTTCGAGACGTGGAAAGGAATGACAAGGACACATCGAAACCAGTCGCTAGACATTTTAATTTACCTAATCATTCTAAGCAACATATGGCAATCTGCGGTCTTTCCTT